AACCCCACCCCACTGCCAACTGTGAGACCAATAAGAGCTATTCTCACGGTATCACTTTCTTTTTCTAGAAGATCAGGAAGTTCAGTGCACTTGGCTTCATGTCAAAATACTATCTGCAGTGACGTGAATTAATTGCCAGGCAATAATAGTACTCTGGGCTATAAGAGTCAGTGAGAGTGAGAGCAGAGAAGGTGTTCCTTTCTTCCTCTCTCTGGTGAAATCACTGGCCTTCCTCTTCATCTCAAGGCAGACCTTTCAGAAGAGCAGGACTACTTTTTGGTGAGTATTTCCAGTGTGGGCTGTGATACCTGGTGATGGTGGCCAGCTGTTAGGGGGAAGGTGACTTTGGAAGTGGTGAATCCTTAGCTAAAGGGCTGACTGTTCTTGAGCACCGTGGCCCAGAACTTTCTAGCACATAGAGAGCCTCCACCTGCTCTCTAGACCAGGCTGACCTCGAACTCACAGATATCTGCCTGCCTCTGCCTCCTGAGTGCTAGGATTAAAGGCATGTGCCACCAACGCCCAGCCGCATCACTTGCATCTCTTTCAGTGTTCACAGAAGTCACCATGACCTGGTCCTCCAACCTGAAGAGTCTCCTCACAGTCTTTGTCTTTACCATCTTAGCTGTCCCTGTCAGCTTTGTGGGTAAGAGTAAACAAGGCATTCCTTTCTCCTAAAGATGGGAAGGGGGAGGTAAGCAGCCAAGAGCCTTGGGGAGTTAACCAACCACAGGAGACTCCAGTGGTCTGCCTAGCCCCTCATGGCTTGACTGCTAGGAAGCATCAACTACAAGGCTCTGGGGTTACCTTTTAAATGATGTATATTTCCTCCTTGCAGAGAGTTACCAGTGTACTTTACAACAATGTCAAGATACATTATGTCCTGGGACTATAGGTGTTTGTACAACCTCTACAGGCTGCTTCAACCAAATACAGCAATTTGATACACCATGTAAGCCAACCCTCACACCTTGAGCGTCCTCCATTTATCCTTGCTTCCTTTCCAGGATGAGAGTGGGAGCCTGGGGTTCTGGGTGGTGGTGTAGATGGAACACGTGCTTGTTGTAGGACCTGGATTCTACATGGTGAGGACCATTCTGGTGTGACTCCATTCTTACTTTTCCAGTGTCAGGAATCAAGCTCTGGGCATCACGCATTCCAAGCAAATACTCTACCACCAGTCACTCCCTTTGTAGCAAATGGTCCCTCTGTTGGTTCATTCTCTGAATCAGACCATTGCAGAGGGACTCTTGGAGAAGTGCAGTACTCGAGGCAGAGGGGATGAAGGGACAGGTTCTTTACCATGAGCTCAGGAGGAAAATTTACTTACTGGGTCAATTTTCTGCAGCTACGTTTACAGACCGCATTTTCAAGAATAAAGGGTGTACTTCTGGAACATGCAGTGAACTGGTACTCTCGGCGACGCTGGGGGATCAACGAAAATTTAGCTTTGAAAACCATTGCTGTACATCTAATGAGTGCAACAAAGATGACATAAAACGTGAGTACAGCTCATGTCTGTGCCCCAGCACCTGCTCAGGGTTCCTCTGCCTTTCCATGGGTCCATCTCTTTCTGCTGTAAGGGTCTGGGTTGGATGCAAGTCCCTCTCTTGGGTATGTGTGTACATACTTGCATACACAGACTGAATGACAGTTAGGCAGCAGTAATTAGGCCTGGGCCTGTTCTCTAAGGATGTTCAATGAATCTGTAGGTTTAAAAGCTTTGTTCTCTGCTCCTCCAGTCTTTCCTCACCTATGTTATTCCTCATCTTGGAGTTTTGTATTATTGAGATGGATTCTTGCATATATTC